CTGGGGATTCGAACCCACCACCTTAGGTGTACGTGGCTGGCGCCTTAGCCAGTTGAGCTATAGGCGCTGAGCCGGTCCCAAAGGTTTTATAGAGAAAGGTTTATAACGTTAAAAACAATATTCATCATTTTATAATAAATCTAAATATTATGGTGATGATTACTGGGAGAGATTTTGAGAACATTTCCTGTAATTGAGGAATTTGTCTACAAATATAAATCTATTTTGTTAGAGTAGTATTCATTGTGAGGACCCTGTGTTAATATGGTTCAGTCTTTCTGTTAGCACTGCTGCTGATGAGATGAATTAGGAAAGTCAAGATACAGTGACTAACTTATATGAAGCAGGTTTTGACTGAGGAGAAAGCTTGTCTCTATAAATGACTGTGTTGGTTTCCTAAGGAAGACATTTGAGTACAATCGTGTGACATGTAGCCTTCTGCAGACCCTGCAGGCCCTCCTATATTATGATGAGTGTTGAAGAGCCATGACATCATCTTTGTCATGTAAAACTTGGTTAGCAAGCATTACCTAACCAGGAAGTAGAATAAGAATAAAAAGCATGATAAGAGTTCTATCTCAGGTGGAGGGTGAACCCCTGAGAGCTCTGACCAGCCCCCATGGCCTTATCACCATCACACTGGGAGAGGAAGTGCCACTGCTATAGCAGGCCCCAGTCATCATCCCTGTGACAGCAGCCATGAGCAGTGAGGTGAAACACTCTGCATGATACCACGGGCAGTGAGTGGCAGCCCAAGAAGGCCATCCCAGTGAAAGTTTGGGAACAGTGAGATGGTTCAACATAAGAAACATATATGGTTTTATCCACAGGAATGACATCAAACAAGATGTATTTGTACACAAGATTGTCGTAAAGAAACATAAGCCCCAGGAAGCATCGTGACACAGTGCAGGGAATAGAGAACCTATGGAGTTTGATGTTAGTGGAAGCGGAAAGGGTGCACAGGTGGCAGAGTTTGCAGGTCCTGGTGGAGTTCTAGGGCCAGGCCACAAAAATGCAGCAGATTGTAACCATTCTAGATGTCATCTGCGTCATTATAGGTGTTATCTGCATGATGGGGTCTTCTGCACTGTATCCACCAGAATTACCAGAAAAATGAGAACGGAAAAAAGAAGCAAGGATTGTAGAGTGCCCCTCAATGTCAGGCCTGACGGCACACAAGGCATCACCTTACCTTCCCCCTTGTCCTGCATAGACCTTGTGGGTATTGACCAGTGTGTTCTAACCCTCCTGTGCAGGGAGAAGTGATGGAAGGTACTTGAGCCAGGGTGAAGGAGAACACGTAGGCCAGTGAGACAGATTATGTATTGGGGTTATAGATCATGAGTCTCTAGAGTCCCTCTTCATCTACTGAAAAGGAGCAGAAAAATGAAGGCACTGAAATCCAAGGCCGGCAGCCACCTCAGTGAAGGTGTCCCACAACTTCAGACACCAGCACAGACATCCAGAAAACCGTAATCCACAAGATGGCACAGAGACCACTAGCTGGGGGTTCCCCTCCCAAGGCTGAGGAGGGCAGGGCTGACTATACACCAGCTGACCATCTCTACCATCATCTGGTTTTCATCTTACAGGAAGAGATGAATATAGAATCAAGCAATAAGACTTGAACAAAAGATTGGCCCTAAAGACCTTAAGTGCTTACTTTTTCCCCATTTACCAGACAAGTAGAACCATCTGCATTATGGAGATTTTATTACTTTTCCCTAAAGACATCTCTTTGTGGTAATGACAAATGTTCTACAAAAAGTTTAGTGGTTCTCATACACTTTAAAAGATTTTAAAATTGTTTCATATCTGGTAAGGTTGAGATTATTAAGAACCTCATTTTTAATTTATACTAAAACTTTACAACTTGAGTTTTTTTTTTTTTTTTTACAGAAGGCAACAAACTCCAAATCTCTGTCAATACAGGTTTATAATAATGATAATAATAATGTAATACAGATACAGATTTGGGGTTGAAGAACTGGATTTTTCTGGATTTTATGTATTATTTGCTATTCAACAATGTCATATGAGTTCTTCTATATCTTGGTGATAAGAGTCATTATACATAGAAGATAGGAAACATTGTTCTTTCTTCTTCACTTGTAACTTTCTCCATTAGTGACCAAATGAGATGAGGGACCATTTTACTTTTTTTTTTTTGCTTTTTGAGACAGGGTCTCACTCTGTTATCCAGCTGGAGTGCAGTAGGGTCATCATAGCTCACAGCAACCTCAAAATCCTGGACTTAAGTGATCTTCCTGCCTCAGCCTCCTGAATAACTAGGAATACAGGCACTTACCATTATGCCTAGTTCATTTTTCTATTTTTGGTCAAGACAGGGTCTCACTATTGCTCACGCTTGAGCTCCCAGCCTCAAGCAGTCCTCCTGCCTCAGCCTCCCAGAGTGCTAGGATTACAGGCATGAGCCCCCAGCATCTGGCCTCGTCTACATTTTAATATTGCTATTAAAGAACTGAATTTACAATTTTGAAATTTTCCTCCTAAGAAAATCATAGAAAGTGTCTGGTAGTTATTTGTGGTTTATTTGTTTTCAGATTTCTCTCATTTCTATGTGGGCATGTCTGAGTCACGTCCAGGACCAGGGGAGCACTCCTTACTCATCATGGAATTGACTACTTATGCACAATTTTGCTGTTTTTATTTTTCACTAATGAGACAGCCCTACGGAGAAGGAAATGAGACTTAAAGACTTGCATCTGATTATCTTAGCTGTATCATAGCCACAGCCCCAAGAAGCCAGCTCTGTAGCCCCTGAATCATGACTGCTCAAATTTATGCTGCAGTGTTTTGCTTCTCAAGGGGTGTAATTACCTTCTCCATGATAGCCAGTGATTGAAATGACCTAAGCAAAAGAACCTCACCATCCTCCCCTCCAGCTTCCTTTGGTGTATGGCAAAGCAAGGTGCATTTATAGCAATTAGAAATTCCAGTGGCCTGGTCCTTTTTTTTTTTTTTTTTTTTTTTTTTTT